GGGAACTGAGAATATACTAAATGGATTTCTCATTTCTCCCCAGGGATCTGGAAATACAGTAGTAGGTGCACACTCTGTGGATAAAAACCTAAAAAAGCACTTTTTCTGTTTTTTTAAAAAAAAGACAATAAAAGTTCAGAAGACCTGCCACACTTAGAGCACTTGCATCTTACAGTCACAGCATACGGCAAGTATGACCCACGACAACCACTCTATCTCAGACTAAGTTGATGAGGTTTCTCTATTGCACATTCATGAAATGTTCTTGTTGGAGTCACAGTTTGGATCAGAGGACCACACCAGCTCCAGTCTCCCCAGGGTGTTCAATGCCGTCATCGGGCTGAGTTTCAGCTGGTGGACAGGAGAGTGGATGGGCACAGAACTCAACACTGAGGTAGGAAAGCCGAAACATGAGCCTTCAAAGTTTTTGCCTAATGTCAGTTCTTCTGCAAAGAAAGACGCAGCTTCTCTTTTGCAGGAGGCAACGGCGGGGCTGGGAGTGGAAGACAAGATCTCCGACTCGTATTGTAGCAACTGGCCCATGAAACCAAAGTTTGGTGAGATCAGGCTCCGACGCTGCTTGATGTAGTCGAAGGCTTCCTCCAGGCAGAGCTTCTTTGTCTTCATGAGATATGCCATGCAGATGGTGGGAGAGCGTGAAATCCCTGCTTCACAGTGCACCAGGATCTTGCCCCCTGTTCGTCTGACATAGTCTAGGGGAGAAAAAAAAAAAGTCATTGCAGACATCAATTGTCGTTGGAGATGGAGAGCAAGTGTGACACTCACCCAGCACTGGAGGCGGAGCATGGCACACAGCCAGTCCACCAGCAAGGAGAGGCTTTCTATTCTATTGGGTACTAAGGGTAACATGGAGATTAAAAGAGAAAGGGGACAAAAATCCAGCCTGAGATGGAGATGAGCTGCAGATGACACTTGATTTCAGAATCTGTGGATCCTGATCTGGTTCTTTCTACATTTTTTAGGAAAGTCTTTCCTTGTCTCCTTGCCATGTGCCTATTTCTCTTTTGGAACAACTGTGTAGAGCATTGTGAGATAGAGACCAGGTACCTGGGCAACACTTATGTTTGCTGTACCTGCATTTCTGTCTGCATCTCAAAGTGTTGACCCAAACCCAGCCTGGCCAACCCTCCCACCCATCAGGCGTTTCAAAAGCTGCAGGGTTGCCTTCCTCTCATCAGCTTTGCTAGAAAAACAGGACTTTTCTTTAAAGTCCAAACCCATCTCCCTTCTTGGCCTGTTAGCAGCAAACAGCAGTACCAGGAGCTGAGCCCTTGGTGGGTACCCTTGGGTGGAGAGGCTGAGCTCACTCCCTGGGGCCTCACCACAAAGCACACAAAGACTGGTAGGCAGTTGCTAATTACAGCCTGGTTAAAAGATGCTTGGACTTAAGTCAGGATATAAAAGGCTTATGCGAAGCACCCATTTTACACAACAGGAGCCACTGTGGTTACTCACACAACACAATGATTGTTATTAGATTAAAGAGAATGTGCTTAAAATAAGCCCTTTCCACACAAAAATATAGTTCAAAAATAGACATTTTCTGCTCTATTGCCTTGAGCAGTATGTTCAAGCTCCAATTTATGGATAACTGCGCCGAGTGTAGTGCTAGTGAAACAATGCGGAGCTGAGCAAGTTATCATTTGCCTGTCTTCGATTGTCTGCCTGGGGACTGGTGCCACCACAACCGGTTATATTTAACTACTGCACAAAATAAGACATGGATTTGAGTCATCCCCCAGCATCCACACCACACACCCAGTTTCAAAAGAAAGTAAAAACTGAAGTCATCCTCAAAATCTGGGAAATTTCCAAGTGACTCAGCAACTATCAGAAGGGGTTGGAGATGGGACAGAAGAGTGCCTTGAATTAACATTTCCCTGAAAGATGCGAGAAGCCCCTTACCAATGAGGGGAAGGGCTCAGAGGACGCCCTCAGATCAGATTTTTTTAATTCTGCCTGCACTGTCAAAGGACTTGAACTCAGCTGAGCGATGAGTCCAGCAAGTCTGTAACTGGGGTTTTATTCCATTTCTGTCTCGAATGTTCCTGGAGAGCAACAACACCGATTTCAACACCATCTCCACCCCGGCTCAGGCTGCTCCACCCCAGTAAACCACCCTGTGCCTCTCAGGGAGGAGCCTCTCCCTTGCACTACCTGGCACAGCCAGTGTGTCGCTGACCTACCCAGCCTAACACAGGAAGATTTGGGTTCTTTAAAGGCCTTTTTTTTTTTTTTTGGCATTGATTAAAGGGTGAGATACCAACATGATCAAAAGGAGGAATGGAAAGAGCTCTGTGATAAAGGGAGATGCTAGATTTCTAAGATCCTTTGTCTTTGGGATATCTCAGCACTGCAGGGCAGTAAGCTGACTCTGCTTCACCTGGCTTTTGCAGGCTCTAGCATGCAAGTCCAAGGAACTTTTTTTTAAAATTTATTTACAAAATCAATAGACTTTGGTGTTATTCAACCGTATTTTGCTCCCTGTCAGGCTGATGTTACACCTAGGCTTGCTTTAAAAAGAAAATAAAGCTAGCCAGCTCACTCGCCTCATCGGCCTGATGGCAGTCAAGAGGAGGCATTTTCCTTCCTTGGCCTCCCAGCCTGGAGAGAGGCTAGAGACTTGCTCTGAAAGTCCCTCTTCCTTCCACCCTCATGGAAAGCCCTCTGCCAGGAGAGATGCTGGGACAGTGAGGGGACTTAAACTTTTGTTGTGGCATGGGGGATCATACAGAAAATAATGTGTCCTTCCCACCATTATGTATTTTAAAATGAATGAATTTAATATACATGAAGATCTGGAAAGTTGTTAATTTGGACCTACCAATGAAGTCGATGGCTTCCTGAAAGTGTGAGCTGATGTCTGCCGTGTGGCTGTCCTCCACTGGTATCCACTTGTAGCAATACTGGTCTTTGAAGGACTCTGAGCTTTTCCTGGAGACGTTGAGCAGGGCCGTGATGTGCAGGTTGGCGAGAAACTCGCACTTAGAAGCGTGATAGGCACTACCAAGGTAGAGAAAAGGCAGAATTTCCACTGGCCCGCCCTGGAAGAGAAGGAGCAGAAACATGGAATTCCTTTTCAAAGGTATTTCACTCCTGATACCCAAAAGGCAAGGGAGCCTGCATGAGCGCTCACTCCCTCCCTCGCTGGCGGTTTTGAACCCCAGTGCTGCCCAGCCAGTGAATCACTGCAATGTCAAAGCCCACGTAGGAAAAAGGTTTTCATTTTCTTGTCAGATCCAGCCCACTTGTGTTGCCCTTTGAGACGCACCCAAAGCACTTTCATTGTGAGGCCCGTTCCCTCTGAGATTTTACTGAAATACGAGTGAGGGGGGGAGCCACATCCAAGCACGAGGAAGAGAAGGATGGAGGAAGAGGCTGCTCTATCTCAACCTCTCCACTCACACCTCCAAAGGTGAAGCAAAGCAAAAAAAATTGGAGCAAGGCTCCCCATCCCCCTGCACCTCCCTGGGGCGCAGCACCTGCCACGTCACCCGCCCCAAGATGTCATCTCAGTTCCTCCTTCCTCAGCGCAAGCAAAGGCTGGGTGACGAGACTGTGAAAGAAAAAAGCCACCACCTCACACAAGGGTTTCGGAGATCACGGGTAACTTTCCATGATGCGCCAGAGCTCCTGCCAGCCCCCCGGCTGCGAGAGGCTGGCTTTCCCCCCTGCCGAGCTGCCCACCCAGCAGGTCCCACGCACCAGGGACAGCCGGGAGCCGCCCAGGGTGGCAGGAGAGGGCCTGGGGCAAGAGGTGTTCCTGGGGGAGCAGAAGGGCATCACCCGGGGGCTCCCCCCAGCACCAGGAAACATGCTCCCCAGCGGAAGTGGCCCGACCACAGGGTGACATCTCGGAGCATACGTATTCCCCGGGCCAGGCGGGCGCGTGATGACTTCCCCCGCGGAAACCTCACTTCCCCTGCCCAAGGGCAGCTCTCAAGAGCTACTGCTTCTTCTCAGAAGCAGCCCCATGGCCCCAGCCCCCTCTGCCAGCCTCAGATTCATTCCTGCTGGGGTCTCAGAGGAGGCACGAGCAGAGCGTGCTCCTTCATCTGTTGGAAAAATGACACTCCTGGCAGCCTCTCCCCTGCCCTTTTTTAGTCTCCTGGGGAGGTGTGAGCTGCTTATGGCTCCTGCTGCCTGGCTGTGTGATAAAGACAGGTTGCAAATACAGTTTTGGGGCTAGACAGGGTGTTTTTCCTCCTTCTGTTGTCTAATTTTGAATGCAGGCAGAGACGATGCTGACCAGCAGCAGACACAGGGCATCTCATTCAACACTCAGGCTGCCAACCTGAGACTGCGACTCATTGACAGCCCGTGCCAGCACGAGGGCCACCGGCACCCTGCCAGCCTCCAACACAGCCTGGTGGCAGGAGGGAGACCCAAGAGGAAGGTCATCTGCCATGGCCGTGACACACACCTCATCGTAAGCGGGTTTGTGGTTGGCACTCTGCTTCTCACAGTGGCTGGCAAGGTTTCTCTCTGCTTCGGTCCTCTCTGGGGAAATGAGCTTTCCATCCACGCAGCACTCAGGATATTGCGAGTTAAAGGTTTCGTATCCCCCTAGAGGAAAAAAAAAACAGAAAAAAAAAGAGGAATGTTTGCACTTCCAAAACCTGGTTTAGTTAAAAGCAGAGGAGAAATGAAGCTCCAGTGCCTGCAATGCAAAGATATAGTGCCCTATGGTGATGAGCCCCAGGGGGGTTAACGAGGGACAGTGCTGCCCTGGGGAAATTGGTTTAAAAGGCTTCAGGCACCTGAAGAAAAACTTCTGATACCACTGACAATTATTAACTTGCCAAAAGCTGGTGGATCCAGATTAAAACCGTTAGTGAATGTAATTCTGTTGAGTCTAGCAACCATTAACTCCAGTATAGCATGGATCAACTTCCTCCCCCAGGTTTTGTAATGAGCATTATTTCCAACCTTTGAGCTGGAGATTTCAGTACTCAGGAGTCATCCTCTCTAAATCTGTCATTACTATATACACTGTGACAACGTAAGAACCATTTTATTTGCATTTTTGAGTGGACATAAGCACAAGAGGGGGATGCTTGCAACCGTGTCGTTAATCACCACATGCACAAGATAGCGAGGGTAATGACAGTCGCACTGAAACCGATCTATTAAATAACAGCTATAAAACTTAATGAAATCCTGTGACAGCATTTGACAACTGAATAGCCCCACACGAGCTATTCTGCATGGTTAAGTGCTGCATTCATTTCATTTAGTGCACTGCTAATGAAAAGGAATTAATCCTATTATTACATTGTTACTCAAAGTTTGTCGTCAGCTAAATCGTTGCCTGTTTCCAGGCTGGGAGCATGCTGGATGGAAGCACACAATCTCCAAAATGAACATGAATAAGTCAGGTAGCAGAAGCAGCCTGGGAACATCAGTGGCGTGCCACCCGTCTGCCACCTGTGCCTTTTCAGAAAATATATGAACAGCAAAAGGTCTTGAACAGCTAGATTGAACAATACTTCAGAGTGTGGCCCTCAAGTAAACAAGGCTCAGAAAGCAAACCCTCCAATACAATTCATTCACCTGCCACTGTTTCACCCTGATAAGCCATGTCAGTGTGAGTGCCTGGGTGCAAGGAAGGGTTTTGAAACAAAGGAAGCAGCCATAGGGCCCCTGCCACCACCGCTGCCAGGGCTGGCCAGTACAGCTACCTCTGACATTTCAGCCCCGTAACACCGGTGCCTCATTTGTTTGCAATGTTTGAGCAGATCTGTGCTCAAATTCGTGACGTGCTTCTGTCGCCCACTCAGTCCTGCCATGGGGTCCTCGTGTTGCAAGCGGCCGGCATGATCCCACTGAACATGATGAAAGCCTGTTTTCCATGACGGAGGGCAGGAGGATGACTGCAGTCAACTGGCACTCAGCACCTGCACCTTTCCTCCTACTTCCTGGGCCCCGGCCACATTCAGCCAGCTCGCTCCAGAGCTCACAGCACAAGGCAGTGGGTCAAGCAGCCAAGTGACCATGGAGACCATAAGAGGGGGCTGATAAGATGATATCCACAACAACTGGGTTGATAAAATGATATCCCTAACAACTGGCAGTGTAAAAAGCCAACAAACACAAGCAGCTCTCCAGACTCCTCTGCTCTCCTGATCTCCAGCTGCCCTTCATGGGGTAGACTTTTAAATCCTCTTGTTTTGCATAGCTGACCTTATCTCCTCCTGACCTCCAAACATTGCCATCGCATAGGAAAAATATGTCCAGTTTATATAAATAGATGTTATCCCCATTTACACCCTGCATTGTTGTTTTCACCCTTGAATGAACACAGAAACCTGCTGGAGCCAAATCAGCGTGTGTGTTCGAACCGACATGCATGTCTCATGTCTCTGGGGCAGCTAATACATGCAGCTGGTGAACGGTTAATTACAAGCCTTGGGGATCAGGATATTTGCAGGCCATTCTTACAGTGAGTCATCTTCTCAGCCTATCCTCCAACAATCTCCTCTTCCCCCTCCCCACTCAACCTAGCTTCCCTGAGGTCATTTCTGCAAATACAAGATTGCTCATAACAGAGCTGGGCTGCACTTCGATTCTAATCGATAAACAATAGAATCCTTGTTATTTAATGTTTCTGAAAGCTCTTCCCCTCCCCCCACCCCCAGCCCCGTGCTGGGGCTGACCTCACCCAGAATGAAACTGCACCTACAAGCGATGAAAGATGAGACACGCTCAACCCCTGGAAGCCAGAAAGTGAGGGAAGGAACACAGCCAGGCATGCAATTGCTCTGCATTAGCTGCCCTGCCTGGGGCCAGATCCCCAGGATGCTTGGTGACCTGGTGGGGTGGGGGGGTGACCTGTTCATATCTTATCACTGCAACTTCCAACACAAGAACACCTTAGCCCTCAAGTAGCCAAGAAATCCTCCCAGCTCCCCCACACCTAGCGAGAACAGGACTAGAAGGGGGAACCTCAAGGAGTTGGTGGGGTTTTTTTTCCACACCCCCCCCTCCCCGGTGGTTTTACAGCCCATTATTTGCAAGGTTCACGCTACAGACCCTGAAAGGACCCTTTCTTCTGATTAGTGCCCAGTGCTTCAGGATGATTTATATCCCCAGACCACAACAGCTTCCTGGGGGTCCATGGCCCCAGTGAATCAGCAGTGCTGCCCACTGAGTCACCAGCTTCTCAGGCCACACTAGATCTGAAATGGAGCTGCAGACTTCGTGGGCCTGATCCTGCAACCCACAGCACTTCCAGCAAACCAAAGGGGAGCAGCAGCAGGAAAAGGAGGAAACGTTCTTGTCCACTAAAGGTGAATCTTTTTAGCCTCAAATCGACAGGCCTTCAAGATAAGACACTTGGCAATACACGTACAAAGCAGAGCCTACATCAAAACCCCACCCCAGATAAACTGCCCACAGCCACAGTCACCACTTCAAAGCATGGGGCTGGTACATGAGGAGGGAAGGACAATCTTGTGGCTAAAAGAGCAGGCTGAGAGTCAGCAGAGCTTAACTTAGCCCCTGCTTTGCCACAGACTTCCCAGTGCGACCCTGGAGATGTTTCTTCATCTCTACTGTAACGGGGTCCCCAAGGACTAGACTGGCCCGGCACAGTCCAAGTATCCCTGCCCTGCAGCAGCAGAATTGGTGCTTTTGGGGCGACTGTCAGACCCCAGGGCAGGCTGGTGGTGCCCGGACAGAGCCAGGGTGGTGGCAAACCTCCCTGGGAGTCTCCTATCTCCTTGGTACCGGACAACACCCAGGCTGGAGGTATCTCTACGATGGCGAGGATGCCCTTCAGGCACTGCTCCTTATAGGAGCCACAAACTGGGCCCATCGGGATAAAAACTAGTGTGATAAAAAGCTTTAAAAAAGTGAATTAACCCTGGCCTGTGAGGACACAGGGGGAGAGTTCATTCAAGAAACATTGCCTGGTTTCCCCCGCCATTTATGGCCTCAGGGTATGGCCATGGGAGTTGTTTAGAAACTCCTGCTTCGGCGTGGCCCCGCTCCGGGGAGCCGTGCGACCCCGGCAGCCGGAGTGCGGCGCTCCGGGCGGGCACTGACCCCTGCGAGGGGCGGCACAGCGGAGGGAGGGAGGGGGCTGAGGAAACAGGGAGGGCAAAAGGATAAAAGCACTACCGGGGAAACGGAGGGGTGGCAGGGATGGGAGGACAGAGAAAGGGCGGGCTGCGATTTCTTTTTTTTTTTAATCGTTTTATTACCCCCGGGTTACACGGAAGAAAAGCAAAGAACCGCAATCACAGGGCTATTAACACACGTCGGGGCGAGGAGGTATTTCTGACCCCGGCAAGCCCGGGACTTTCGGCTATGGGTTTCCCTGCTAGCCTCGGTGTGCCCGGTGGAGAGAGAAACCTCTCTGCCCTGGGCGGAGGAGCGGGCACCGATCCCCGGGTTTCGGGCGCCCAACACGGGCCGGCCCGTGTCACCGGCCAGGGAGCGAGAAGCGGTGGCCTCGGCTCTCCTCTTACCCGCGGGGCTGATCTGATCTTCCACGCAGCCCCGATTTCTTTCGTCCGCCCTTCCCTTTGATAATCTGCAACTGTTGCCCTTCTTCCCTAATATTCTTTCCTTTTCATCAGCCTCTTAAAACACGCGGCGGGGGTGAGCGGAAAGGCATTTGGGCTCAGCCCGCAGAGTCTATCCGGGATTTAGT